TCTTTAATAAATGTAAAAAAAAAAAAATGTATTTGTGGAAAATGAACTAATAGTCACCAATTTATTGGTGCAATAACAATCAATGAAAACGACAAGATAATGGCTAACAACCACCAAGATACCTAACCTCGAGCCATCCAGAGAAAAAAATAAACAAAATATTTAGTCGGTCCAATGACTTAGGTGCTCGATATAAATTAAGGAAGTTCCTATTATTATTAGGGCCCACAAAAATGAAAAATAATAATATAAAGCAAAAAGGAAAAGAAAGACAAAAAAACATCTCAATCGAATAGAGTGATAATTTTACTTTTCTCTTTTACCAAAGTTTGATAGCATTTAGTGTGTCGAGTATTCTAACCATCCACAATTGAATGTTTAATAATTTTATGTACATACAAATAATAATCTTTTTAGTAAAGTAGTTTAAAAAAAAAAAATCTTTTTCATAGATTATATGATGTTATTGACAAGATATTGTTGTCAATTTTATCATACAAGTGAACGTATAGATGACAAGTAATATAATAATGAGTAAAGTGTCGAATCCATGACGATTGAATATCTACAAATTTTACTTTAAATAAACCACTAATCCTAGAAAAATACACACTATTAATTTTTAAGCGTTGTTTCTTGCTATATATCTAATTATCTAATAAAATAAGCAATTAAAAATAAACAAGCATAAGTCTTAAAATTAATCAAATGACAAAAGACAGTAGGATCCCAAATCCACCGTCGTTAACCTATTTTAATCCTCAATTAGCCTTTATATATAATTCTTGCATACGGTGAAATTTAATTATTAAATTATATCAACACTATCTCTCGATGTCAATCAATCTTATACTTATGTGTGAATTAATTAGTTATATATAATCAAATTATGAATATATAAATATGCATTAATTCACAAAGATCGCCATCACAAAAAATTCATAGAGTATAATGATCGTCGTTATAGGACCATCCTATATTGTTTATTACCAAGTACTTATTTATATTAAATCTCTTGAAAATAATAAAAATCACAAATGCGTTCCAATAGTGATAATAAAGGAACAATCTACGATCAACCCTGAAAACAATAATTAAATACAAATATGAGTAGTTAATTAATCAAAAATTCAGGTTTCATCAAAATCCTAGCCACAATTAGCCCATCATGATTGGATAGCAAGAACCTTCCAATTTAGGGTTTAACCTATAAACACAGTATATACATTTCATCCAAATAATTAAATATTAATTAAATTAACAAGTTTGGATAAATGTAAAAAATATATATATACTTATCAATTATCATTCATGAGTCATGGAGATAGTAGTAAATAATTTTCATATTTTTCTTAAAGCTCATAGGTACAATTACGTAAAAATATCTAATTACACTTTTAAAATCAAATTTGACTCGATAATTATTAGAATAAGATCTATGTAGTGATCAAAATTGGTCGACATATTATACAATTAATTAGTCCTTCATTTCTTATTTTGATTTATATTATGGATAATTTCGTACTTAAAAACTTTAAACTATAAATAAATGAAATACGATCTTATCAAGAGAAAAACTTTAGATACATAAAAGTTGGATGTATCAATAAATTGTTATCGACAAGATTAACCATCGTCCAATTAATTTAACCTAATGTGACATTAAATCTTCCCCATCCCTCTCATTTTCATTGAAAACAAATCCCACCTCATTTTTAAAACAAAAATTGACACTTGATCATATGACAACTTGATCTCAACATAGATTGAGATTGAGGAATTTGAAAATTTTCCATAAAATAAACTATAAAATATATGCATTATTCTGCCATTAAGCTGACAGGGGAGGAATCTTATGCGGTATCTACGGCTCTAGCAACGAGGTTGCGGTACAAGTGTACATTATTTACTGGCAGATCTACGCACATGATATTTTTGTCTGATTATTACATCATGTGTGTCCCATGCTTCGGAAAATTGTACATTTCGGATATTTTTGACTTTTGTGTCAGAAGTCCCGTCTTTAAATTGTACATTTTGGATATTTTTGACTTTTGTCTCAGAGTCACGTCTTTTGAACAGCACGAATCGCATTTGTTTGTTGTGGTACAATATATTCCACGAGATAAAACCTACTCGCTTAAGAAGCCGTTGGATGGCCTTTGTAGAGCCAGATGGCAGTCTAAACAAGGGAGTATAATGGCACTTTGCTATGAGGAGAGTAGAAAAGTGTATTTTTAATATCTCGAGAGGGTGCCGTAATATTTTAGCACTTTCGATAATACATAATTAAGCCGAGCCAGAAGCCTGGAAAAAAAATTAGGGATGACAATTTGAACAGTTAAAATCGAAAATCGCAATTAATCGAGTCGAATGGGGAGAAAAAAATCGAACCCATGGTTCAATGGGATGAATATGATATTTGATTTTAATGAACCGATTCGTGGCGGTACGGGTATGGTATTTATGTCGTCGAAACGAAATCGAACCGATTACCCGCTTAAAAAAAAATCATTCTTTTATTAGGGATGACAATGTTTAGTGAGGAGGAAGTTGACAAAGAGGTACATTTTTTTATTTAAATTTTAGTTAAAACCATCCTGGATTAGGTAGTATCATTATACTCTCTACTTATATTTCTTATTTACTATATAAGAATCAATTTTGAGTGCTAACCTATGCTAATAAAAGTTGTGAGAAAGAATGAAGATTGAATATGAGTTAAGGTAGAAACTTTTAAATTATTGAGCATGAATCAAGTAACTACAATGCACAAGAATCAAAAATGAATGAAAAGTTTAGTATTGTTATATTCATAATATTGTTTGTTAAATTTGTATTTTGCAATTAAAATTTGGGATAATATTTGCAGTTTCATTTGGAATATTTTGTTTTTGTTTTCATTGACTCTCTTTTCATAAATTGTTTTATATCAATTTGAAGGATGGACCTATAAAAAATAATTTATTTTCATAGTTATTAACCAGATCGAACCGAGCCGAAATCGAGAACCGAACCGATTTATGTGATTATGGTATGACAAAAAATTTAAAGGTTCGGTGATGGTTTTGACCGAACCGAACCGAAACTGAACTATTGTCATCCCTAAGAAGGATTAGTATACTTCAATTTAAAGAAAAGTGCTGATTTAGTGGTGTCAATATAAGTAGATTTAATCGAGTCTTTCTGTTAATTGGGTCCAATTTGGTCGATTATGGTTAATGAATTGGATCGTGTCAGTCTAGAAATGTAAAACCTTGATGTCTGTGTAAAAACAAATAGACTGGACAAATCGACCTGCCAACTTGTAATCAGTTTTGGCCCACTCACAACAATGAGTTGATGACTTCGGTCCCATTTAGGTGTAAGCTAGATTTATTGCAATCCTGATCACTACGGACTTGGATAACCTGAACTATTTTAACACACTAGTTTGATCCACATCTAAAATGGCATGACTTTGTGTTTGAGCTTGATATCAAACTTGCATATGTAAAAACATTGTCGGAGGGGATTGGGACATTACGAATATTTTCAAAAACCTAATTTAAAAAAATGATCCATGTCGAGTGTCACTACTATAGTTTCGAACATGGACCTAACTAAGTAACTGCCTAGTGCTAGTGCTAGTTTTTTTCTTGTAACGTATTACTGTTTCATAAATCAATTTTTCGTAATTTAAATTAAAAGTACTTGCAGTATATCAAAAAACGATAGTGTAAAGATTTTGAATATTCAATATAAGGCATTGCACAGTAGGGAAAACTTATTTTTCAAGAGCAGTTAGGATACAGTCTCATTCAGGGGACCAACCTGAAAACATGAAAGTTATATAAATGATTAACAAAATAATTAATTTCTCGAGTTGAAGGATAATTAGTTAATTGTAGCTCAATTACTCTTTATATTCGATATTGATCGATCGACCGAACCGTGTTCAATACATGTAAGATACATTGCACCCACTTCTTTGTCTAAGGACACAAATGGAGCATCTAAATAAGTGCATACATAATTTATTATATTCAGTGTATAGATCTAATTTGGATTTACAAGACATTTGAAAACCGTTACTCTCTGTCTAGGGTTCATAAATTAATTGCACGGTGGCTAGAGGTTCAGGATTTAGTCTGGCAAAGCTAGGATAACTGGGTATCCAAAAAAAAAAAAATTTAGTATTATATCACAAATAACAATGAAACAACTAATACTCATAAATAATGTATATAAAGGTAACTTAATTTTGCAAATAATTCCACATAGATGTTTGAGGGGATATCGGTCCAAAAGTATTACATACAAAATGTTACTCATATGAAAGCTTGTGTTGTTATAGAAAGAAAAACTTATTTATTTAAATTAAGTCCTTGACACAGTTTCTGAGTTAAGACCAAATTTATTTTTTCATCAAATGCACGATTCATGCATATTTAAAAAAAAAAATAATGTTATTTACAGTCACTTATAATTGCAGTCATTCTATGTGGCATACATCTGACAATTAGTGATTTGATATGTTAGGCAAAAAAAAAATTGTCTTATTAATATATCAAATCACAAACTGTTATGTAAGATGTCATGTAGAACGATTACAGCAGTGAGTGATTATGAATAACATTGCTCTTTAAAAAAATGGGCAACAAGGAGTGCTAAAAGTGGAAATTTCCATTTTATTGTCTTCTACAATGCCATCATCGCAAAAAAATGAGGAAAGTCAAGACTCTTGCATTCATAAATTAGTTTTGAATCATATGCAAGTTATAATATTTATTTATGTTTGCATTTGAATAGGCCATCAAAATATTAAAGGTTCAATCAAATTACAAACTTTAATATTTGACTTAAATATTCAAATAGCGAGGATTAATTACAAACTACAAAATTGTAGTCTAGATCGATGCCTCAATTTTCTATTGACTACCATTAATAAATCAAAGAAGCATTCATTCACTACATCTAAATAATTTATTTTGTAATCAAAGGTGCGGCATGTGAAAATTTTCACCTATCTTTTCTTGTCGAGAGCCTTCCAATTTCTCCCACTTCGTGGGATCGATCAGCCTCTAAAAACTTTCTTTTCATCCTATATTTTTGCTCTTTATATCCAAAGAATTTCCTCTCCAGAAAATATTTTTTGTTCTTTTTTGTTTCATTCATGTCATTTTCGTAACATTATTCTCTGCTAAATCAAACTAGCTAGCAGAAGACGATGATGTCAATGACCATGTTAGTATTATTTCTTCTTCTCTTCATCGTTGGCCTAATCTGTATAGTTACCAACCCCACAAGAAAGAAATTTATTGCATGGAATATCCAATTTTTCCTTCACAAAACTCCTTCAACCAATAGTAAATTTATGTCCGAAAATTGTACTACAAGCAATAAGATTGAGCTCAAAAATGTCTTTGCTACCTTTGACAAGAACCACGATGGGTTTATAACGAAGAAAGAGCTTGAAGAATCACTCAAAAGAATAGGAATTTCTGCTACCGAGAAAGATGTCGAAGAAATGGTTGAAAAGGTTGATTCAAATAGAGATGGTATGATTGATTTCCACGAGTTCTGCAAGCTTTTCGACCCAAAGTTGAGTAGAGATAAAGATGAAGAGGAAGAAAGAGAGATTGCGGATTGGAAAGAGGCTTTTGATGTGTTTGATGGAAATAAAGATGGGGTAATAACAGTGGAAGAATTAGGTTTAGTGTTGTCTTCTTTAGGGTTTACGGAAGGTAATAAGTTAGAATATTGCAAGGAGATGATTAGGAAGGTTGACATAGATGGAGATGGCATGATCAATTTTCTTGAGTTCAAGAAAATGATGAAAGCTGGTACAAGGCTTGTTCCACTTTCTTAAATCGTGTGCTTGACTCGACATGACCAGACATGATTCAGATACAAAAGCACTTTTTGAAATTTGTGGGTTTTCAAGTTCAGTTCAAGGTACCAAAGTGATGATTCTTATCTTGCTAAGCTACATACATTGGTAAAACATTTACTTCACATAAAGACTTCATTGTCTATCAATCTGTTATTAAAAGTTTTGTAATGTATTTTGTTCCCATTGAAGGGTAATGCAATTCAATGTGTTGATTCATTTTTGACGTGCAATTCAAGGTCATAGTTTACTTTACCCTTCTTACTGTGTACCAAATATCCTCGATTCAACTTGTAGTTATTTTATAATCTTGACATTTATAGATCTTGAATCTCGATTCAGTGTTTGGATTATAAAAGATTATAGTGGCAAAGAGCTGACTTTATGTCGTCTGTACAATAATTTTGCGAAGTATGAATCTGGAACATTAAATCAGGCAACCTGATATCAAATCAATGGTGACTTCATCAGTGTTAATAAGAAATAGTTTTTACTCCATGAATGAATAAACTTTTGTGAGCAGAAGACTTTCTGCTCCAATGACGAAGAAGCTAATAAGAACTTGTGAAAAGCCTAGAATATTTCACTATGGCGAAAGCTCTAATATGAAATCGCCTATGAGAATCATATCTTCATCATCACGACCATTCTCTACAACACATGCCTACCTGCTTGCAACACCAATGATGCTCGATTCTCAAGAGTAATGTGTACGTTCCACTTTGCAATGGAAAAATGTAGCTAAACAAGCTAGGAATAGAAGGTAAGAGGAATACCAATGTTAAAAGTACAAGAAACTATTAGCGTCTTCTATAAGCATAAAATCCTTTATTAATAAAGCAAATAGAACTAAATGATAGTTCAAACAAGTCTTTGACTACCCATCAGCACGCACAAACAGCATATTATCATCCACACTAGATATTCCAACTAAAGCTAGGCGATCCAGTAAAAACCATTTAGGATTTTCTTGTATTAAACACACAGACATCGGATATATAATACTTATGCAAAGATTAACTAAAACACATCAGGGTGAAAACGCCCAGGTACTGAGTTGCTCTGCTGAGCCTGCTTGAGGTGCATTGCCAGTGCATAATTATTCACCTGATGAAAAGATAGACGGTGATTAGGCATACAGGAAGATTCAACAGAAAATTCTTGTGACGACAGATTTTAGCATTCAGGTATTGGTAAACATTATAAAGTGCGAACAGTGTAAAGTACCAGAAGCAGTCAACGGAAAAGCAACACAAGCTTATTGAAGTTTCATAACAGCCCAGAAGAAAGAGCAGATTCCAAGTATTTCTCAATAGGGACAAAGGTCGATAAGGGAGGAAGGACAAAAAATGTATCATTGAAAATGTCCCTCGTTATAAGAAATGTTTTAAAAAGCTACACAAAATTATACGCCCATTGGTTCTCTCCCTCTTCTCATAGCATCTGAGATTGCGGTAAACATAGTAGACAGATAGGATAATATGTGTGAAACAATAGTGGAGACAGCATTAGTTCATGCTTTTAAATTACTATTACAGCTACACCCACTAGGCTGCATTAATTGAAGTCACGTTATATATACATGAAACTCGTCCACTTAATTTAATCATCCGATACATTTATATTCTATTAGAAAATGTTGAAATTATAATTACTTTCAATCTCCTTTGAGAATCAAAGGATCAATTTTGAACTCCATGCTCTGAGAAATGTTGACATCTGAAGATAGGAATTAACACTCTTTGAGGGGAATGCGGTTAACTTGGAGTTTGAGTTTTTTAAGATGAAAAAACCTGTCTCCGAACCATGGTTTAGGTGGAGTTCAGTTTAGTCCAGTTCACCTGTTTACTATGATTAGAGCAACGAATGATATAACCTAGAATGTACATGACTTTTAGTTTTTGAATCTGACCTCAAGAGTTCTCAGCTGCTCCTGGTATTGAGAAACCAGCTGCTTCAACTGATGCAACTCCTGGCCTCTTTCCTCAAACTCTTTCTGGCGCTCATGCTGGATGGAAACTGCTCGCTTTAAAATGGTGTTTTCCTGTATAAGTGCTTCCAGCTGTTGCTTTAGCACCATGTTCTCCTATAAACATGACACATGAAAATCAAAGAAAGTAGTAGAATAACAGTATTGGCAAATTTGTAAGTTTTAAAAGAAGTTAAAACATTGTATATAATACCATAACCTAAATCAAATATAGGATTCAGTACACAAGCTAAATGAGCAACTACAAACATAAAAGAACACACCTTCTGCACATTTTGGGAAGATGCAGTTGCATGTGCAAAAATGGACTTCTCCAGTACCTCGAGTGCTTGCGACACACGCACCTTAGCATCCTCTATATTTGAAGCATTTATTACTTCTCTAACCAAGAGGTCCACCCACTCTGCGCCATCCAAGGGGAGGTTGCATCCAGCTGATGATTCCTCTCCAGAACTTTCACCATTATTTGCCACTGTACCTGCATTACAGCATAGCATCATTGACTGCAACAATATTTCATGATTCAAGTTTATATTTGACTGAAAAGACTGCAACAGAATCTCATGTTTATAATTGACTGTATCAAGAATTCTGTATTTTAAAAAAGAAAAAAGAAAAACCACAGAACTATGAAACAACCAGATAAACAACAAAGAACAAGTGATAAAAAACATGATTTTCTAATGGGGTTGGTAAACAGGAGCTAAGCAGCAAGCAGTTGAATTCCATGACTTCATTTTCAACTATTTCAGGCCTCTTCAAATCATAAGTATCCAAGAGGCCCAACATTAGTTCTTTAAAAGAAACCCATTGCCCTTGGTCACACAGATGAGAATTGTAAATTAAGCAAGCATCTAGCATTAAAAATAATATAAATACACCCATAAATCTAGAAACTGTCATATTTTTGGGTGGTCGCGGAGGGGAGACCACCAAAGCTCCTCTCCGTACATCCCTTATTGGCATATGGACAGCAAATTTAGGGGCAGCAGTTTGCTTTAAACAATTATATGATTGTAGTTGCAAAGTCATGATAGCACCCCTGTGGCTATCCCACTGCAAGCTTCATATTCAAGGTTCTATTTATTTTATAAAACAATCATATCTTTAATGGTGGAATGGGTAAACAAATAATTTCTTCTCTTCGCACTATGTTATGTAGGTATGAGAAGTTTGCAATATATAAAGGCCTAAACTAATATTTTTATAGGTAGAATCTACCAACTCTGTTAATCATTAAATTCGCAAGACCTCTCCTCAAGATACTTGAAATCAAATAATTGAAATAGCATTCTGTCAAAACAAAAGATGTCCGACTAGAAAACTAATTAGCAGTTTCCACCTTGAAGGAAAAGAGAAATACTCAAAAATCCAATACCCCTAACATCATATAGCTGTACTTAAGCATTTCCATTTGTACAAAGTTCAATTAAATGAAAATAAAATTCAATGAATTGCATTTTATTAATAAATGCAGGTTGATACCGTTTTCTTTCAATTATCACAACCAAATGTCAAATCAGAAATCACAATCATATTTATCATATTACAATAAATTAACTAATTCAACTAACTATCAAGATTTTTAATTTCAGAAAAGAATGTAGGTTCTCGTGTATCATGTTCATTTTCTTGAAGAAACCCCAAGCTAACTGGTTTATAGATAATAATTTAATTTTAATTTTGTTAGATCAAAATAATTAATTACATATTATGCCAAATAAAGAACAGCCAAATTTTATTTTAACATATAATTCTTTAAGTATAGTTTAGGGGTTTCTATTTAGTGGTTACTTATGGGGGTTCATTTTTTAATTAGTTTGCCAGCCTAAAACAAACAGACATGAGGGGAGGATATACCCATTCAACAAAAACCTTACAAGGTATTGTTGGTTCTTTACTTTCTTTTTCTAGTATGAACAGAGATTTTTCATTTTTTTTTCTTTTTCCAGTTTCTCAACCAAGCCCAAATATAGTGAGAACAAAGATTTGTTTGATGTAATTTTTCAAGTTTCTCCGAGGAGTTAAGAGTAAAGGGACAAAAGATAAAGTGCTACTGCTTCATACTACATATTTTGAGAACTATTTACTATCTGGGCCCAACTTGTAAACCCAAATGGGAGTAGTAAAGGTTAAAAAAAATTCTTTGAAGAAAAAGCATATTATATTCTATATCCCTCTCTTATTACTTTGAACTTAAGACTACCAAGGTATGAGCTTTAAGGGCATTACAATAATGATCCAAAGGCACCACTAGAGGATGTGAAGTAGGGAATTTAAAAAATGATCACAACTTGCACAAAATCATCAATAGAAGGGAAACAATAGCTGCTTAATGGATCTCCATTTTAAAAGGCCATTGAAAATCTTAGTTAGCAGTTTACAGTTTGCATTCTCTAATTACATGAGCAATACACATAAATCTTAAAAGTCATCAATACAGGAAATAAAGTGGCGTGAGATAAAAAGAATCGAAAATTTTTATGTCACATACCCAGCATGGCTAAACAGAAATATACGAGTAACTAGTATCAAAATAAAGACCACAGCTCCCTTCACGTGCGACTGTACTACTAGTATTTGTTTCTGCTATCAAAGGTGCTAGATGACAGTATTAGCGAGGTCAACTGGGAGACAAACATGAGGTGAAAATATCATAAAAGACATTTAAGTCCAGTATATCTAAACAAAACTCCCAAAGGAGATCTGCGGTCAATAAATAACTCTAAAAAAGAAATCTATAGTGTAATATCAAATCTATGAAAGTAATTTCAAAGTTTTAGATATGATGCCTAGTGCATCCACATCTCTCAGATAATTTCAGATTTACCAGGTTTTACATGGAATCTGAAGTATCCTTAACCATTTCTCATAGAATACATATACAGAAGCATCTCAAATAGTAAAGAAAGCTCCACAAACAGAACAGATAACAGCACCTTGAGCTAAAAATTGGGCATCAATTCCCTGGGTAACATCAGGTTTGATTGCAGCAGCACTTAAGCGAAGCTCGTTCAGTCTTTTTATAGCAGAATCCAAATCATCACCAGAATCTTCAAGGACTTTCTCTAGATCCTAAAAATTAACAGCAATGTCATGGATTGATTAGTCTAACAGTATGAGCACAGGTTATATGTTCATGAGATATTTTATCTACCCATGGAAACATGTGCACAACCAAGGTCATCAATCACCACAGTGCACAGAAAGAGCATAATATTGAAAAAGATCCGACAAAAATTAACTCATACCATACTCTTAACGTGTATCGGAGTACGATGATTATAAGACTCAACCGAATTGGTAAAGAATGATGCGAAAGCAGAGCAATCACGCAAATGGCAAACAAATGAAGTGAAATGAAGAATGAATAAATATATAACTTGCTTTACTTTCTGCCATTATGTCAGTCTGCAAAAGCAGTAACGCACACCGGAAATTAGGTAAGCGATGAAATATCACATTTATGACTTTTACCTCTGGTCAACCTCAATAGCACAAAATCAATAAATACTAAAAGGCGTTCTTATCACATTGTTAATATGGAAGAAATTCGTGAAGAACAAACCTCAAGTTAGGTAAAGGCAATAACTACTAACATTAAGTGTAAAATTAAAACTCACTTAGGACTGTTTGTTTCTCATTAATGTAAGAATGAGAATGAAAAATATAGCAGTTACGGGCCCCATACAAGAGATAGAAATTTAAATATGGTTGCTTGATGTGATCTATGATGCTCGGACTCGGGTGCGGGTGTCGGATACAGGTACAGATCTAGGAGTCGGATTTTTCTCATTTTAAAAATTAAGATATGGGGATACGGTTAAAAAATATCCGAATTTTGGATACCGATATGAGGATACGTCTTATAATTTTTTTGCTCAAAAAATGATTCAATTAAAGCAAACAACAAATCATGTAATTTACAATAAATAATAAAACCTTTAGAGATAACACCTAATTTATGGCAATATGAATTGTTGACTTTTAAACCACTTAATTCTTTCATTTCTTTCTTCTTCTTCCTCTTTTTTTTTTTTTGGAAAAATACACTTCCTGAAAGGTAGCCCAACTAGTTACGGAGATTCCCTCATATCGTTAACTTCTTCATTGGGCTCCACCTTTTTGCAAAATTTTGAAATGTTGCTGCAATCCTCCATAAATTTCTACATATTTCTATCAAAAGACGCAAAACAAATGGTTGTTACCGCCACAAACGCAAGCTAGAAGCAATACTTCACCGTCCATTGTTTTCTCCCTTTTCTAGCCATGTCCGAGTTCAAAATCGAGAATACGACACATATCCCATGTCGGTATCCATATCATGTCGTGTCGACAAGGGTACTTTGCCATTTTTGAAGAGTCCGAGTATCATAGAATGTGAAGGATAACGATTATATTTTTCATTTTAATAGCCAAGTAATAGGAAACAAACAGGGGCTTAATGTATTAGCATGATAGAGAACCATATTGATTCTTCCTGGACTCTTTTAAATCCTTCTATTCTTATTTTTTGTAAAAATACATAATTTGAGAAATTTCGCATCTCCTGAACAAGATAACCAAGTTGCAGCTTAGCAAGAAATATCTAGTGGGGTAGTCTTCCAAAAACATACACTAAGTAATTTATGCCTGAATTTAATGTATATCTATGGCAATGATATAGGTTACATACTTTATTTGAAACTAAATTAATTTCGTTCTATTATACTTATTACTACACACTTTGTCTCACGCTGCTTGTCACTAATTAACTCGTTAAAATTTAGTCGACTTCACCATCTAATGAGGTATTGCTAATTGTTATATCTTTGTCTTGCATTGCTTGTTATTGGTTGACTTTTTTAAATTTGTCGACTTCTGAAGAGGTATTTGTTAAGCTAATATATTTAGGTTTCACAAATTCTTGAAAAGTTAGTATCCAATTTACTAAATTTCCAAGTGCGTGTCATTCCATAAGTCTTAAGTGATAAAGAATAATAACTTCAAATGATTGATAGATTGATGTAAAATGGTACCAGGCTAAAAAACAACATGACCTGGATAGAGCAATGAGTAGTGCATAATTTGTCATGGTATAATGACCCCCACATGCTATTCGGTAGCTTAATTTTTTGTCATGCATTATTATTATTATTGAAAAGAATGCATGGTGTGATGGTAAAAATTAACTCCATCCTCACTCTTATGTTCAGAGTCAAACATCAATCACACAAGCTGGCAATCTTGTATGTCATTCTTCACAAGTTAACATAAGAGGTGCAGGGTGGAAGCAATGGGAAAGAAATCATAGGAAACGTTTCCAATCTCTCTGAAACCATGCAAACTGTGTTGCTTACATATGGAAATCCATTTAAATACACAGTTACTATATGCAAATAGTATGTAACATGTTCAATTAGTTATTAAAAGAAATTCTTACTTAATAAACATTTCTCCTTAAAAAAAAAAAAAAAAAAAAAAAAAAAAAAAAAAAAAAAAATCTGCAGATTCTTAGCTATGATGATGTTCGGCAGTATCCAGTCTTCTTACTTTATTTATACATCATTAAATATTTCATAGTTCTATTACTTTACAGTTACAAGTCGGAGACAATTGAGTAAATTCACATTTTTATAGTACTTCATAAGTACTTGACCAACTTGTGTTCCTGGAATGAATTTAGAGTCTCCAACTTATGAGGAAATGGGAGAAAACGAAGTAAAAGACATGCTGAAAATTAATAGAAGAGATCTTATTTAATAGAAATGATTACAACCAACCATACTCGCATGTAATGAATATGCATAAAAGTTTTTAAAGATATATACGCCTGCCAAGTTGAGCAAACAATAGCATGCTTGCATAATCGCTGAATTAAAAAATAAAGGGAAAAGCTTAAAAAATAAATAAATAAATAAATAATTCTATTTTTTTTGAGATTAATAGAGGGGAGGGAAAGGGAATGCTTAAAAAGCAGAAGAATGTATCATTAGAATAATATATTGGCTTCCTTTCATTCCCTTCGAGCCACTCACAACTAATTAGTTCCTACACTCTCCTTCCTTCCATAAAGTGCGCAAGAGATCTTTCCCCAATATAATGAGAAGAAGAAACAAGACAAAAAAAATTCCACTCTTCATTTCAACATTGTTATATAGTATGTCATCCACAAAATTGAATCTCTGGCTATGTCGCTTTAACATATAAACCTATGTCTCTGAATCAAAGACCTATTTACTCTGAAAACAGGTAAAATGCTGAAATGTGCAAAAATAACGATATGCATTGCGAATTAACAAAAGCATTCAACAATTCTACAAATCGTGTCACCACTGGCATGCAGGATCACTCATGAGCTGGAACTCAATAGCAGGACAGATGCTTGCTTTTACACATTTAACTGAGTGGAGCTTGTGTTGCACAAACCATCAAGCATGCACATTGTTGCGCACATGCAATGATGGATTCCAAATTTCAAACATTCATGAGACTGTAGCTTTCTTCACCAATGAAAACCAACAATTCAATGAACTGGGTAGATTTTATCAAATTAATTGAAATGCTCTATTACTTGTCTTTCAAAATCATGTTAAACAGCCATTGTTATCACTAACCACATCCAGGGATAAGAATCTAGGTCCATGTTTATTGCACAAGGCACACTGATCTACTTCAACAAGAACTGGACATAATTTAGGCAAATAACATCATAGTGGAAGTATGACATAATATTTTCCTTGCATGGAGGACAAATTTGTTATATTTTCATCGAGGACATTCACTTTTTCCATATACATCTTCATATGTTACATATCTGTTTCTTTGCCAAGTATATTTCGTATGGATTTAATTGAACAAGATAAGGAAAGAAGAACCTATTTAAATTCTCTCAGCCTTTGTTTTACACATCAAAAGAAGAATATCCATTTATCTATCACTCTTTCATTTTTTCCCTCTCTACATATGCTTCTATTTTTTCTCCTATAGTTTTCCAAAAAATTAAGAGAAGTGTAAATAATATAGAACTTAATTCATTTTGTCTGCCTTTCCTTCTTTCCCTCTCAATCCATCCTCTCCTCTCCAAAATACAGCAAAAGAAAAGAAGGGGAGAGCCTGAAGGAGCCAAGTGCAACATATAAAGAAGAAAAGCCTAACTTCATTTGGGCATATACAAAATAGGCAGAAAACAAAACAAGCCTAGAGGAGATTACCAGGTTTGTGCTTTCATTAGAAGCAATTCCGGGATTCAGATTCTGTTAGGAACTTATTATCTAAAGTTGTTCGACTTTGGTCCATGAATACCAATGACGATCTTATTATTGACTCAATCATTAACTTGAGACTAATCTAGTACCCAAGTACTAACTTGTATATATAAATCAGAAATCAAGGCAATGCATCGTATATTCCAATTCTTCCATTTTCCTCTTATAACGCCATAACGTGATTAGACTTACCAGTCAGGACCTGGCAAATGACAAATTGGATGTGGATTCAGTAGTTACATATATATCATTATTAAAATTGATAAATAGAGAACGATGAAATCAAGCTTAACATTGATATGTGATCTAATAAAACCATAACAGCATTTGTCATCTATATGCCCAGGACGTGAGTAAAATTTCCAATACTTAACATCAATACTATCCAAAGAATGTAATACGTGCATCATCCTGAATTAAATAACTCGATGGTCAACAATCATCACATAAACAATGCAAATCATAAGAAAACTGCTCTAAACCCGTGTGAGAAATTACGTTGATATCAATCATGACGCAATCCCATTTCAAGAATCCAACAAAAAGGTAACAAATTTGCTCATAAAATAAAACAAAATAAATCGAAAACTGAGCAAAAACCAATAACAGAGTTAAAATGAAAAAGAAAAACCTGCTTTTCCATATCAGGAAAGAGAGCAACGAGATAATCGAGCGGTGAAGAGGAATGGGAGATGAAGAAACTGGAAGCGGCAGAACTCTGTGGAGAGCGTGTTCTGCCTGGAGAGGAAGATGAAGAACAACGGATTCTCTTTGACACAGGAGGCGATGACGGCGATTCCTCGAAGATGTTCGATCTCTTTCCGCACACTACGGCAGACATGTTGCGCCAACAAGCCTATGAAATTCTTTATCACTAATCTGTCTCCAATTCCTCTCCCACCACTTTTTTCATGCAGAAATTTAACCAAATAATTTCTACCCAAAAAGTATCAAAACAAAATGAATCAGATCAATTCCACCGATACGATCCAATTTCACTTATTCACATACAGCGGAGATGCAGAGTTGAAATTCTAGGGTTTCAACTGCAATTACAGATTACTACAATGTATACGTATATATCTATATACAAATGCAATTATACTAAGCATTTATTGGGTAATTGGAATTTTATTGGTTAAGCAGGAGAGAAATTATTATAGCAATTCATCGGTTTTCTCTTTTCTTCTCGGTCGAATATTCATGGCGTCTTTAATTGTAGGATGATAAGTTGACTCAGCTGTGACATGAATGACAGACGCATATGTAGAGGAAATGATACGTGGAGGGTGCTGATTGGTTTTTAGAAGGGTCGTTGTGGCCTTGTGGGTGACGGATACTATTTTGGTGGCTTGTCGAAAGAGAGAAGTACAGGATCCGGGACAGGATCTACTTTGTGCGTGAGGTTTTTAATTGAAATAGAATAAGCTCCCGTTTGTCCCTATTTTCATTCTATTTTTTATTTTTTTTTAATTTTCGGTCACATAATTTTTTATAAAATAACATTACACACAAATAAAAAAAATTTCATTCTTATTCAATTACACATTTTTAAAAAAAAATACTATTTTAACAATTAAAATTTGACAATAATGGGGTCCAAACAGGGGCTAAATCTAAATGGATAGGGTCGACGAGCACACGTGGCATCCCCTATTGGCAGGAGATCTGTCAGTCTGTGTCCTATCCATGTAGCAGTGCTGATTGAAGTAATAGAGAATTGAAGCGACTCACTGTCACGATCGTTTTATGTTAGTGATTTAATGCAGGAGGCAATTTTTCAAATCACAAACCGTCATGTAGAAAGTCGCGTAAGACGACTATCGCAGTGAATGACTATGAATAGCATTACTCAATCATAAAATTTGTAAGTTTGATGTTGGTTTTTTAAAATAAATTTTGTGAAAAATATTATTTTCGTGGAATATACATTAAATAATAAAGAAAATTTATGAGTTTATGTATATAAAATTATTTTATTGAACAATATATGTTGAAAATGAATCTGAGAAAAACAATTTTAGAGAAAATGTACCAAACAGGAGCCTATATACACACTAATTTTACATACATAGAGATTGATATTTTGCAACAAGACCACCAAGAGATCGATAAGGCACATAGTGTGTTGATTGAACTTTCCTTCATTGCAAATTAAAAATGAATATTTGGTGATTCCGCTCAATTCAAGCTATGTTTGAGTCTCATTGTTGTTATTATTATTATTATTATTATTATTTTGTGAGAAAATAGATTTTATAATAATAATTTTTAGAGAATGTGTGATAAAAAAGTAGGAAAAAATTCTGTATTTACATACAAAATTATTTTATTGAGAGAATATATGATTATAAATAAATTTAAGAAAAAAATGAATTTTTTGAAAATGTGGTTCAAACGGAGCTCAATGCTAAGTCTCGTCAACCAACAATCAATTTCAGTCACTAAGCATATAGAGAGATTAATTAGGCTCCAAGAATATTAAGTAATGCTATTCTTCTACCATCATTATGTTCGATATTTTATTGAATGATATATTTAATAACAGAATCTCTTGTTTCTACGTATAATTGAATTCATCATTTAATGCCACTAAATTCGAGTTATTACGGTCATCATTGTCAAGGAAATTTCATGCTAATCAATCAATGTTGTAGCGGTGACTTTAAAGTGTCGCCAAATGACGTTAATTAATACATAAAGTTAACAGATTTCGTATTAAAAAAAAAAAAAATGGAGGAGGAGGAAGAAGAAGGTGAAATGTAGGTTTACCATATGATTTAAGGCTGAAAATCTAATCAAAATTAAAGCCACATTACGTTTTCTCATTCGAATGTAATAAACTTTCAATTCATAATTTCCAAAATTATTGACATGTCGTACCATTTGATGACGTGTTGTCACTTAATGGTGCAACGTAAAATTTAAAGTTAATTCTTTAATTGAGCGATCATTCAACATTTAGAAACTTGAGTAATTATTATGTAAAAAAATAACTTCAATAACCATTCATATAATTATTCAAAACGTAATTAACCCCAAAACACCCTAAGCCACCCCATCCGTTTTCCCTTTCCCATATCCTCAATCGCCCATAATAGTAATCACATATCATACTTTATTGTTGAGTATGTTTAATTGGTTGCGGGGTTATTTAATTTGAGTCAACGGTTGAAAGAAGTTTTTCTAATTGAAAATTGGGTACGTATAATTCGATTTACTAATAGAATTTAACCACATAAATTGTTGAATTAAATTTTGTGCATGTTTTTGATATTTAATATGTGAGTGAATAATCGATTTTAATTGTAAAAACGGTTACTACAAAGTCTCGATGAAGAAGTCAAGTGTGAATTTTCTCCCATCGAAATTGTGAATATAATTTACATATTCATCAACCTTTTCGCGTCCCAAGAGAGTATGTTGAAGTTTATCAAGATGCGATGTTGTATTTGTCTATCATTGTTGCCTTAGGATTTTAAGATTTTTGTTTGTACCAAATATGGCTCGATAAAATGGTTTTAACTTCGAAACGATCTGATTTTTAGAGTTTACATCTCTTTCCAATTGTTCAAAGAAATAAGGGTCGCCATCAGTGTTTATCTTTAGTGAACGAGGAGGGTTCTTCAACGAGGGAAAATGAACTGCAAATTTGCAAGTGCCGTCCCCAACATTTGGGTAGATACTAAATCATCCCCATCCTTAACTTCGTCCCAATACATGTTTCCATTATTAAATTAAGGGATAGTTGCAGCAAAAACTCCAAACCTTTAAAGCACTAGCATACTTTTTTCAAACATTTGATTTGTTGTAACCATCACCCATAATATTTCCAAACTATTTGAAATATAAATATAAGGGTGTATTTGATTGTGAGCATGGAATTTACATGAAAAAAATAAATAAATTTTAGATAATTGAATTGCCTAGAAATTATTTGCATGAAAATTGTCAATTAACTGTATTTGATTGATTTTATTTTTAACCAAAAAAAGTTATATTTGTCCATTTTTTATTGGTAGATAAATGAAAAATAGAGAGAGGGAGGGAGGGGGGGGGAGAGAGAGAGAGGGAATTACCTGAAAAATAAAAATATACTTCTCCTATAGAAAATATTTTCCTTATTTTTAAGTTTTTATGTCGTCAAAGTACTAAATTCTACTTGGTTAATTTTCGTTTGTTTCGGTGTGAGACCTTTTCTAAACAATTGGAAAAGAAATGACAAATTGGCCATTAGATGAAAGTTTGGGGACTAATATTCACATGAATTGAAATTGAAGGATTTGAAGTGAAGTAAAGAGACATAAGTAGCACAATTAATTGGATTTGAGGACTAAAGTGCATTACATAAAGAAAGTGAAGCCATAGAGAGCAATATTACATTAAGTGGGCTTGGATCAAATTAACAAATGATGAGAATTAAATAGGCCTTAAATGGTGAAATTGCAAGGGGAATGGGATTCAAGTGGACTTCGACTTCCTTTTGCATTATCAAAGCTACGGGCAGATGAGTGGAATAAAGGAAATTGAAAGGAGAAAATTACCGAAAAACCTACATTTAAAGAATACTTTTCATAAATAAGGAGGATTATTTTACATTCAACATATCAAGTGATAATTAGGTTTTAATAATTATAATAATAAAAATTCAATTAAACCTAATCTACATACCCACCCATCGGCACCCAACTCTATCCAAATCAATTTCATTTTCTTCTTCTCTCTTCTCTCACACACTCTCTCTATCACTCATACCACCCATCCGCCCTTTCTTTCCGGCGTCGTTGTGTTAGATGGATACTACCTACTCGCTTCTTCTTTCTGACGTCTTTGCGCGTGGTGGACACCTACTCACTTGCCCCTTTTTTCCCACAAAAAAGAATCGTCGTACGCAGTGACAAACTGTTACATGCATTGGCGTAACAAGGCGAAGCCCATGGCAATAGATGTGGTATAGTGTGGGGATGCTATAGAAAGTGGTTTTGCGATCGTGGGGCTTATTGTTGGAGCCAAAAATTGAAACTGAAATGTATGTGATCGATTGTCCGAAGAACGGGTTTATAAATTTGGATTGTGTGTTGACGTTTGATGATATTAAACCATAAATAGATGCCCCTTGATGAGTATGGTTGACAATGTGGTAGTATTAGCATGGTCATCACCGGAGAAAGTGGTGTTGCACAAAAGACAATCCGTAGCTATTGGTCTTTGGGTTTATTTTTTGGTGCGCTTGGGTGCTACAATTAGTTGTAGTTGTTGCAGTTAATGCTAGTAGGGTAAAATTGTAGTCGGAATTTGATAGGAATAGGTGGTTGATGGCCAGCGATGTGCAGTGGTAGGCTTGAATGCTGGCTGGCGTTTGGAGGCTTCAAAGGAGGTGCGCCCTACTTACAGGTACAAGCAGTGAATATTCATGTTGTACGGTGATGGTGATGGTGGTTGGAATTTGTTAAAGATGGTGGTGGTGTGACTTTGGTAGTGGCGGTGGAAATTGAGTATGACCAAGTCTATCTTTATTGTTAATGTTTGTGACCCAATTTATGTTAATTGTGTCTGTATGTGACTTAATTATGCCCCCATTTGATTCCCATTAAATTCAATTACATTACATTATATTTTTCTCTCTCATATTTTCAACCACACAATCTTCCATAAAATAATATTACACGTAAATAGAAAATTTTTCCTTTTTTTTCAACCACTCATTTTTTTAAAAAATAATATTCCCCCCGTTTTCATTTTCATGTAATGGGGGTCAAACGGGGGCTATATATAGTCACAAATTTAGACTGACATAGTCGCAAACAGTCACGTTGATAACGTTGGCCAGTGAAGGTAGTATTTATGATAGTGAATTTGAGTTGAAGGTGGTAAAGTGGTGGTGCATTGGTGATGCTAGGGGTGGATTGTGTTGTTGGTTTGCGATATATGCAGATTTGTTTGTGGTAACCCTCTGTGACTAAGTTTGTGTTTATTGTGATTGGTTGTAACCAATTCTGTATTAATTATGATTGATTTTGACTCGATCACATATAGTCACGATTAATATTGATTTGATTATAAATAGTCACATTGAAGGTAAATTTGATCACAGTTAATCACATTAAAGATAAATTTGATCACAAATAATCATATATAACACAGGTATGATCATAGACAACATAGTCACAAATCTGGCTATCTACAATGCACCACTATTGTCACTATAATTTCTAGAATTTTTT